ATGGGTCCTAGAGCAGATCAAGCCAAAAACCTCCCTGGAAGCCAAGATTACTAAACTGAGGCTGTCATACTTCAGACACATCATGAGAAGAGAAGACTCATTAGAAAAGACAATAATGCTGGAGAATGTGGAAGGAAGTAAGAAAAGAGGAAGGCCACATGCCAGATGGATGGACTCTATTAAGGAGGTTTGCAGGAATTAAGCAGAGCAGTGGAGGACAGAGGGTTTTGGAGATGTCATCCATAGAGTCGCCACGGGTTGAGATCGACTTGAAGGCAGTTAACAACAACAAAAACAATCATATTACACTATTTAAATGATTAAATAATAAGTATTTTATTAATATTAAATAATAATATTATTAATACATAATGCAAATGTGTAAATAAATAACAATCTCCTTTTCCAAGTGATGGTCACAAAGAATCTACCTTCTCTTTTTTCACAGTGTCAGGCAATCTTGATAAAGGGGCACAAAACCAGCACAGTGGACAGTTGCACTAGTGTAGTACCGCAACAGGATTCTCATCTGTATTTGTGGTTTTCCTGAAGGACTATTTTATCAGGTCAAGGATCTACAGCTCTAGAGTGGAAGATATGTAGGTTAAAAGGGTCCTTCCCAGCCATTCATTTACTCAAATATATCTCTTTCACAAACAGAAAGAGAGAAATGTAGGGGAAAAGAAAGAGACTTTGTTTGTCTCTGGAAAATTAATGATTTCTCTCTCCATCACTGGGAAAGAAACTGCTTGCCAAGGGATGAGTCTGAATGGACAAGTGAAATGGAAAGGATTAAGGAGCTCCTTCCCTATACCATTTTCTCTTCTATCTAATGTTGCCCACAGCTGCTTCATTACCTGATGGAAAAAAGCCCCCAGGGAAAAATTATCAAGGGTCTACGGGTAACATGTCGTTTTTACCCTTCGAGCTGAAAAAGGCTACAGAGCTTAATTACTCCAGGAAAAAGAATAGGGTTGCTGTCTGTAACAGCAAATCAAGTGCACAACCAAAGCAAATGAAATAAAAATGCAGGCTATCAGTCCATTGTTCTAGTTCAGCCTTTTTTTCCACTGGTGCCTTCTAGATGTGTTGGAGTATAGCTGCATCCGCAGGGAAGAAATAATCTGGTTTGACACCCCTTTAACTGCCATGGCTCAATGTTATGGATTTCTGGGAATTATAGTTTCTTGTGGCACTAGAACTCTGCTCTGGTGCCAAAACAAACTATTGTTCCCAGAATTCTGTAGCACTAACCCATGGCAGTTAAAGTAGTGTCAAACCGGCTTATTTCTGCTGTGCGGATGCAGTTTATGTCTCCCATAATCTCCAGCCAGCAAAGCCATATTCTCCATATTATTAGTTCTGAAAAGGATGTTTTGTACAAAAGTTGTTCATAGATTTTTCCTTTTTAAAAATCTGTTTATATATCAACTTGAGACCTAACCTGAGTTCTCTAGAGATTATTGGTAGATGGCAGCATGCCCATTTGCACCAGGCTTCAAATCCCAAGAGAGAGAAAAGCATCTGGGAAGGCTATGTCCCCTGGGAAGAAACATAGCCATGAAAAAAGGAGAGAACTGATAAAATGGAAGAAGATATCCCCAGTATATACACTAAATATACTTTTTCTATATAATTCTATAAAATTATGGAACCAAATGACATCCTGGGTCACTTCTTCAAATGGTATTTGTTATTTGGACTGATTTTTTTATTTTCTATATAACAACAGTAGTGATATTTATAACACCCTTTCCACCAAAGGAAAAGCCACATTTACCTTAAGAGCTAAGCTACAGAGTACACTGAAGGTGCACAATCAGATCTCCAAACTTTTTGTTATAAGTCTCAAAAGTGTCTAGAAAAAATGATTGGGCAAAGCTGGCGGGGATGGTTAATCCTTCACCATTTCCATGGTCTGCAACTTCCTGAAGGAGCTATTAAACTCAGGAGGAGGAGGTAGAGGAGGAACAAGGGGAAAGAGAAGAACAGTTCATTTATAACTATAGACCTACCTGTTGAGCTGAGCTGAATATAGTCTTGAAAACCTGAATAGAAATAAGTGTCACTGTAGATAATTAACTGGGAAATAATTGCACCATCTTCCTGCCAACTTTAAACCTCTGGCAACAGGTATTATACAATTGAGGAATTACGTGGGAATCGCCCAAGCAATTGCACAGGAGAATGATGCAACACAGTATTCTGAAAAGTCCTGCATCCATTTGGTGAAACCTCAGAATCTTGGTCCACAAATCCATGTAGAAAGGACAATGTCTGCTAGGCTTAAGTGTGTTTCATCTGATGTGTGAAAGATCCCATGTTATTTGAAGGGTTCTGTGGTCAAAACATATATAGGCCAGCAAGAGAGAGAGTTTGCTTTTGCCAACACACACAAACACAGAGAGACACAGAGAGAGAGGTATTCAGCTGAAAAGAATGAAACACTTTAGGAAACAGGACTTGGATAAAGTATATAACTAGTCCAATGTAAACCAGATGGTTTGAGGATCTCCACACACCTAATAGAATTCAGAACCGAAGGTGGACAATGTCACTGAGGCCCAGCATATGCCAGTCATACTCTATTCACTGGACCGCCAACATCCTGATTGCCATCCAAGCTATGTCAACAAGCCTTATCATCGGCTTGTTCTTTCACATGTTGCCCTTTAGAAGAAAGTAGTAAAAGGACTGACACCTCCAAAGACGTCTATTCTTCTTCAGAAAAGATTAGTAAGTTCAGCTTTATTTGTCACTGGGCTACAATGACAGCAGAAGGCACACCTACTGAACTGCTTAGTGTGATTCAGCTTTAAAAGCTTAGACACACTTTACAAAGTTTTGCCACTGCTAACTCTGTAATTGATGGTGCCTCCATTCTGCACTATGCCAGCCAGTTTAATGGATGGAAGACAATTCAGCAGCCAACTCCTGTTTCAACTTTCTCTGGATGAATTGCAAGTGCGTACTATAGTCTTGTATTGGTGCTCCTCTATAACCTGTTAAAATTATGGGTGCACTAAATAATCCTGTTATAGGATCCTATTATACAGAGTGTATAATATTCC